AAACAGTGTCAAATTAATATCATTTTAATAATAGTAAATTTATAGGAAAATACATTTTATCAAGTGCCTTAAGATAATATGTAGAGTTTTAAATTTTTAATATATTATTGCATTCATCTTTTATAAAATGTCATACATCTTTAGAAATAGAAAATAGAAAATTCCATCATCAAGGGGTAGCAACACACGAACATAAAACTGCATTTCCAGAATGAAAAGCTAAGCAAAAAAAATCAGTATTTTGTCATTGCAAGAAGAAAAAAAAAAGAAAGGAGTGGAGAGGTGGTAATTGCCCAAGAAAATAATGAGAGCGGGTAAGTTAATAGGGTTCTTGTCATTCGACTTTATCTAGAAACCGGTTGCCAAGCATTGCTCCTTTTGATATTGTGAACTTTATCAGAAAGTTGTCTGAACTCTGGAAAAGATACCATATACCATATACCATATACCATATATATCAGATACCAGATAGCGTGGCGACAAGTCTTGATTAACGCTGAAATGCTTAAGATCTCTGCAGAAGAGAATGCGGCGAGTTCCCAGAGGGGGAAAACCTCGGCGATCAGACAATGGGAAATTTGCAATTATAATTCCAGCTGCGACTGCTGAATGAATCGTCGTTTACAATAGATACACTTAATTGCAGTCCATATAGATTCAGATACAGATGCATCATATGACAAATGCAAATATGATATTTTGTGTACATATATACGTAGCGCCATTATCAGTCCTTACTGATAAGACAACGACCCGACTTTACTCAAATATAAACCGGTTGTAAAGAGTTTGTCATTGATTGTCCTCGTTTTTCTGCCGTTTCCCGTCGCCTCATTTGAATGATTTAGTGCTGTTGTTAATTTATAAAGTTTGCTTTCTGGGTGAGGACCCAATTTGGAACGATTTGCGTAAGAAATCGGGGCGCATTAACCTTTTTCCAGGCTTTCCGTTGTCATTCCTATCAAATTTCATTCGGCGTAAATTCTTGCATCTCAAAAATTCTTCAAAAAACAAGCTTCATCTTTGTATTTTCAATTAATTTAAAGGTTTAAAGATTAAACTTAATGAATTATAAGACTTAAATGTCCAAAACACTAATGTTTATTGCTTGTAAGATTAAAGAAGTACATCATTTTATAAACATTTTCTTTAATCCAGAAATTCAATGTGAAATATTGTATTCATGATAATAAAGCAATGTGAGATATATGAAATCTACAGTTGTTGCTGATATCTATAAATGTGTACCTTTTTTTTCAAACCTGCAAGATAAAAGACTATCTTCGGCTATGAACTTCCGTATTCTATACATTTCCGGTCCAGGGATGATATGCGTAGTAACTACGTGACTCGATCTGAATTTTGAATATTGTTCGCATACTTCCATTCACAAATTGCATCAGCATCAGGTCGAAAATCGGAACGAGTCATTGACCAGTTGTTGAAAGGCACATTATACGATCCAGACGTTAGCCGTGTGATATGGGCATATATCTTTACCCGTTGCATGTGCACATTGTCAGCTGACTGGCAGTATAAATAAATGATTGCCTAAAAACACAAATTAACCAGCGGCTACGCCCACAAATACGGGGAAAATCGAAAGAAAAGTCAGAAAGAAAAGCTGGCAAAAAGTAATGGATGTAATATATATACATCTAAATAAAACCCCAGACATTACATTACATCGACTGAGCTTGACTTTGAAAAGAGAGACTTTGATCGCGAATCGAGCGTCAGCAGTGGCCCAGAAACCCAATTGGAGTACAAATCAGCCAAGTGCAGAGATCACCAGAACATTTATCGGTTCCATATACCATATATCGAATTTCTGATGACTCGACTTGAGTTATTTTCGAGAGAACTGCACTTTTGTTTACCGCTAAATTCGCATTTAGTGCTATGGTTCTTTATTTCATTTTGTTCTTAAGCCCTTGCATTTAGTTATTTCGATTTTTTTGTTCTCAGGTATGCCAGATTTACAAAGAATTAGCCAAGTCACAGAAAAAAAACAAAAACAAGGCCGTAAAATATATAATTCCTAGTAGAGGGGCGAATTTCCCTATTTGTTTTCTGGAGCAAATGCGTCATATATACCATATGATTCAGCCGTGCCCGAGATACTCGCTTATATGTACTTGGGTATATCCAGATTTGGCGGCTCTGCAGTTGGCCTGGAATCTTCTGGGACTTATCAACTCCCGATAAGGCGGACAGTGCAGTGCTCAAGTGCCACAAGAGATATAGTGGATGTGGTAATAGTACATATACATATGTACTTTGTGGGGGAATTTTTTTTAGCCAAGTGTTTATCGCGCACATTTCCTATTAGTTGCCAGGGAAAAATGATATATTGTCGGTTGCAAACAATTGGGTTGCACTTAATTGGGGTAGATTTTCATCGGATTAAATCCGATATCATGTTTATTGTAAGTGGCGCCGCTAGGTCCTATGATATCATCTTTTTAGAAGCTTCTCGGATTTTCAAAAGCTTATTTTCGTAGGCTTATTCCAAGAAATTTCACATAAATAAACGGTACGAGTCAATGCCGTTTACCTCTAAGGTGAATAGAAAATAGAGAACCTTGAAGATTACTTAAAACAATTTAAGGTAATTGCATATTTGCCATTTTAGGAATATTGCAACTTTACGAAACTCTTGAACTAGAATTTATATTAATTACCAAAGTTTCCTTTGTAGCCGAGAACAATGCACAATTTAATTAAAATTCCTTGGCGATATTCCCGACCTCCCTCACCATTATCCGATGTGTGGCAATCTATATGGCACAAACACACACAACATACATAGCACAACAGTTTCCTTAATTGCCGCGACAAGAAAATCATAAAAACTAAAGCAGAAAAAGAAAAACTTGACGAAACTGACGCCCACAAAAAGCGAGGCAACGAATTCTTGGGAATTGTCTGGCCCACTTTGCAAGGGAGTCTGAATCGGATATACCAGACGTAGTACAGCGCAGGGCAATCTATTGGGGACCTATAATGGTCCTATGGTTTTACTAATATAATATAGTTGATATTTTAAGAGAGAACTTCTTATCAAGATTGCATTAATAATTAACATAGGGGTTGATATTGATATAACAAATCTTCCATCATGCCCTAGAAAAGTATCCTAACTAGGGAAAACCGAATACCATCTTAAACTTTTGATATAATACATATATATTATAATGTTACTTATTCAATAAACAACGAATTCTTCTAAAAAGATTTATAAAATCGTATCTTGTAAATATCTTAATATTAATATTACTAATCTCATCTCATGTCCTAGAAATATATCCTAACTATGGAAAACCGATAAGATAACCATCTTTAACTCTTGATATATTCCATTCATATTATAATACTACTTGTTTGGTAAATAACGAATTCTTCTAAAAAGATTTATAAAATCTTATCTTGTAAATATCTTATAACTTCTAGTAGTACACCCATCTTAACCGGTACTGTAAGCATGTGTGCAGCTATACGTTTAAGTGCTTTACATGAACCAGAAACAAATGATACGATGACGTTGCCATGAAGAGGCATTATTAATGTATTAATTGATCGGATCTCCGAGTGTCGCTTAATTGTAAATGGGGGGTAGAATTTGTTTGTCGATGCTTTTTGATTGACTGAATTGGGGGGCGGGGGGAGAGAAGCGGGATGGGGGCCTGTGACCCCTGTGGAGTGAAAGCTTCCCCAGAAAAAAAAGATTCCTCACTTGTTCGCTTCTTCACTTCTCTATTTCCTGTTTGGTCACGTAGTCAAGTTTTTGACAATAATTGGTGGCCATCATAAAATAGGAATACAAGTGCCTCGGCTCGTTCTGCTAGTTCTTCTACTCTCTTCTTCTTTCTATATATTTTCCTATGCTGGACTGCGCAAGAAGTGTGTGTATACAACGCTACTATATATAGAAACTAATGATGAAAAAAATTTAATTTTTGTTTGCCTGCTATCAATAAATTTTATTTATCTGTTGTTGCTCTTGACGATTCTTCTCGTAAAAACATTTAAAAGTGTAGAAACGTTTTTTGTTTACCTTTTCCTCAAGGGGATTTCGAAACATTGCTTTGTTCCACTGCTGATAAGAGATGAAAACGAAAACACCTGTTTTTCAAGCGATACGATAGTTCATCTTTTTGCCAAACTGCATGGCCCACATAGAGGAAAAAAAAATGTGAAAATACAAATATGCACATCAGCTTTTCGCCATCCCTTTCACTCCTTTGGCTTTTCCCATTTTGTGCATTTTATTTATAGCCTTGGAAATAGAGGGGTTTTTGGGGGGTTACTCGCGGTAAACATGTTTGTCGGCCTTTCGTACACTCGGCAAAAGGAACCCACTCTATAAGCATATTATAGAAGATTACCATCTTAATGTTACCTTTTATAATGATAGTGAATCAATGGAGACGTCATCTATGTTTACTATACATTTGACCTTTAGGAAACCTTTTGATAATACTGAATGGGAGTACTCAACTTATAAGATTAATAGGCGATAATACATATGTATTACATGTTTTCAGGGGCCAATTCAATATATAGTGTGAAATTCAAGGTTTAACTAAGGAGTTTTGACTTAATCTTATTACATATTTAGGATCTTTAATTTTTAAAATATTTGTTTTTAGTGTACTCACTCGAAAATGTTATTTTGGCTGCCGATCTTTCACTCTTTTTGCTCTCTGTCTCACGCACTTTTTCCTCTTCTCGAGTTTGCAATTCTCAAATTCTCTTCTTCACATTTAAAGGAGCACAAAATACCAAACAATAAAAAATACAAACAAAAAGCACCGAAATTTGTTTTTTTTTTGTTTTAACAATTATGCACGCGTTTCAATTGTTCTTTCGTAGGGGCTTTTTTATTTTTTATTTGAAACTTATTTTTGTTTTGTTATGTTTTGATTATTTTGCGGTTGCAAATGAGATCGTTGGCACAAATATTTGCAACAAGTTGAATGGACTTCTTCGAGGGGATTTTGGATGTGGTTTTGGCAATTTATCGGTGCTGGCTTTGGGTGTACTCGTAGTGCTCCTTCCTGAAGTTTGGATCCTCGCCGCTCTCACAGAAAATCCAGCGCCTGTGCACCATTACAACAAATCTTCGGTTGATTCTTTCTTCCGCGCGCAGGACTCGAATTCGGATTCGGATTCGGATTCTCCGCCCTCGATTCTTCTTTTGTCCACTCACTGAACTTTGGAACTGTGGAACACAACGATGCTACGATGGACGACCGGTCTACGAGCAGGAACTGCGTTCATATACACATCTCGATCTCGATGTCGATGTCGATGTCGATGTCGGGTATATAGAAATGGATTTTTGTTATTTTCTGTTCTTCTGTCTTCTGTCTTCTGTCTACCGCCTCCCCTGTTCCTCGGTCTTTATTCGGTCTTGTCTTTATGTTTTTCGGATCGGTTTGAAAATTTCGAACCAGAGGCGAAGAATGCTGAGAAGCGACTGCCAGATCGACGTCGTCGCTGCCAGCGCCTCGGCTTCCTCTGTCGACGTCGGCTGAGGCGGAGGCGTCGACGTTGGCGCTATTGTTGGGGCTCGCAAAGATGCTCTCCGCTCTCCGTTCTCCGTTCTCCATTCTTCGCACCAGAGATGCTGCGATCTACGATTATTGTATAAGAAAGAAAAGGGACCAAATCCAGCGGTACCGAAAACTTTCTTTAAAGCAGAGTTCAATACCAATTTTTTTTTAGTTTTTAAATATATTTGTATTTGTATAGTTGTATTTATTTCAATCAGAGACCGTTAGTATTATGAGTTTTATACAAATTAATTATTATTTCTGAGATGAGTTCAGTTTTATTATTAAACCTTATTGAAATTTTCAATTGTAGGATCAACTGAGTTTCGAACTTATACAATTGATTTTCAATCGTAAATAAATAAAATAGTAATACTAAAAAGATACTTATACCTATATAGAAACCCAATCAGCTTAATAAGCTAAAGTATAAACTGTAAACTCATATATTAATGATGGAGTAAAGTAGTTTTAATTTTTTTACCTAGCTGCAGCTTTAGTAAAAAGAAAATAGTAAAAACAAGGAAGAACGCTATAGTCGAGTACCTCGACTATCAGATACCCGTTACTCAAAGGGAAATGGAGATATGCAAGCAGCAAAGCGAGATTAAAATGCGCCATCTACCGGGGGTAGACAGATTTAAGCGTTATGGGCGTTAGAGTGGGCGTGGCAAATTTATTTTTGGATCAATCGATAGGTATTGACGACACCAATACATTTCAGTTAAAATTTTTTATCTAGCATGCAAATTGTGGGCGTCACAGGTTTTCGCGGTTTGTGGGCGTTTAAGTGGGCGTGGCAAACTTTTTTTTAGATCAATCGATAGGTATTGATGAGAACAATACATTTCAGTTAAAATTTTTTATCTAGCATCAAAACTGTAGGAGTTACAGTTTTGGGCGGTTTGTGGGCGTTAGAGTGGGCGTGGCAGTCTACTGAAACAAACTTGCGCTGCGTAAGAAGCTCAGGAATCTTTACGCCAAATCTCAATAGCCTAGCTCCCATAGTTTCCGAGATCTCAGCGTTCATCCGGACAGACGGACAGACGGACAGACGGACAGACGGACAGACGGACAGACGGACATGGCTAGATCGACTCGGCTAGTGATCCTGATCAAGAATATATATACTTTATGGGGTCGGAAACGCTTCCTTCTGCCTGTTACATACTTTCCGACGAATCTAGTATACCCTTTTACTCTACGAGTAACGGGTATAACAAGGAAGAACGCTATAGTCGAGTACCTCGACTATCAGATACCCGTTACTCAGCTATATGGAGATATGCAAGCAGCAAAGCGAGATTAAAATGCGCCACCTACCGGTGGTATACAGATTTAAGCGTTATGGGCGTTAGAGTGGGCGTGGCAAATTTTTTTTGGATCAATCGATAGGTATCGACGAGACCAATACATTTCAATTAAAATTTTTTATCTAGCATGAAAATTGTGGGCGTCACAGGTTTTCGCGGTTTGTGGGCGTTAAAGTGGGCGTGGCAAACTTTTTTTGGGTCAATCGATAGGTATTGATGAGAACAATACATTTCAGTTAAAATTTTTATTCTAGCATCAAAACTGTAGGAGCCACAGTTTTGGGCGGTTTGTGGGCGTTAGAGTGGGCGTGGCACTGTGCCGAAACAAACTTGCGCTGCGTAAGAAGCTCAGGAATCTGCACGCCAAATCTCAATAGCCTAGCTCCCATAGTTTCCGAGATCTCAGCGTTCATCCGGACGGACAGACAGACGGACAGACGGACAGACGGACAGACGGACAGACGGACATGGCTAGATCGACTCGGCTAGTGATCCTGATCAAGAATATATATACTTTGTGGGGTCGGAAACGCTTCCTTCTGCCTGTTACATACTTTCCGACGAATCTAGTATACCCTTTTACTTTACGAGTAACGGGTATAAAAACCTTTAAAAAATCTTTAAAATAAATCCAAATATATTATATGTTTATTTTTATTCAATATGCTTTGTTATAAAAACCAACTTCCAAAATAGAATTAGGGACTTTTATTTTAGTGTTAGTTTAGTAATCCGCTTATAGGCTACTTACTAATCAGTTTGCTTTTTATTGCAGAGTTTTGTTCTGTAAATAGCTTAAACAATAGCTCTACGGAAACAAAGCTACCAGTTTGTGATTCTAAATTGTGAAATCATTCAAGATATTTAAGTACACACACACTTAGGTACTCTGAGAAATTCATATTATCGCCAAGTATGATGTTCCTGATTTGATTTTTCAAGGATTTGATCACTGAAAACGAGTAAGTGATCACTGATCAAAATCACAAGGATCGAAGCATCTCTATGTGCGATATCTGAAGAGCTAGTTGTGCTCTCTCCTCCTCTCACACACTCTAGGTCAGCTGTGTGAATCGTGACGCGAGCCGAAGACTGTCTTCGCAATTCTTCGTCCGTGTGCTCTTTCTATTAATCGCTCTCTCGCTCTTTCTCGGGAGCCTGTTGATAAGAGATGCCGTTATCTGATTGCCAATGTGACACATTAAGGCGACGATGGGCCAACGCTTGTTGTTGTTGTCCCAGCTTTACGATCTGCACACGCACACACAAAAGCAATGATAAGAGAAGACACCTCTTCTGTCTTCTGTCTTCGGTCTTTGGTCTTCTGCACTCTTATCTACCTTTATCTTTATCCGCACATTCTTCGCCTGGCAAGTGGTGAAATTTTGCACTTGCTGGTATTTATTTGTGTCTTTTTTTGGATAGTTGGCTCCCAGAAATGTTTATGGTTCTCACCTTAATCGTGGGTCTTACAATCTTAGCGGGGAGTTTCAGGAACTGACTAAGATCCAAAAGAAGATTACATGCACAAGGATTGTGAAGTACAATAAATGGGAGCTACTGCATTAGAGGTTATACAATGTAATATGAAAATACTTCTGTTTAAATAATAAAGACGCAAAAAAATGTCATAAAAAAGTTGGAGCCATAAAGAGAACTTAAAGATAAAGAACTCATTCTGCGTATCTCTTCTTTTTGTAGATACATACATACATAAAACAAGTTCCACTTAAAAATAGTTCTATTATGTATGCTTAAAATAAAAATGAGATTTAAATCTTAAGGGGTTTATTTTCAAGATAAAATAAAATCTCGTTTAATTAAGTCTTAAGAACTAGCACAGTCATTCAAGGTTATACGTTTACAACTTTTCTCATATTTTTTATGTAATACCTTAAAATCAGAAAATAGAAACAATTTAAAATATTATTAAGAAGAGTCCTAATTTATAGACTACCTTACCTTTCCCGTTATCAGACTAATTTTTTTGATCTGTTAAACTTGAACAATAAAATCCTATTGCGTCATCCGAATATTATTTTGTTTTGTGTATTGTACGCGTACTCGTGATCGGTGGAATTAATTTAAAATAAATGTGGGTCAATGGATTATCAATGCCCCGAATGAGGCGTCAAATAGAGAGAATTACCCTGGATACGAAAACCTGGCGAGGGGAATGTGCCGTACCGTTACCATAGAGATACACAGATAGTTCGATGAACACATGGGCAGTGCAATGACTCGAGATCAGCACTCTTTTTCCAGGTACGCAGATCTAGAGAGACGGGGCATAGAGGGGCATAGTTCCATTTAAGGTTTTATAGCGAAAACGTGATCGGGCTCCTCCGTAGCCCATACCCATACGCCTTGGAAAAACTTGCGCAAAATGCTACACACGTCCCATGTCTCTCTGTATCTCTATCTGTATTTGTCTCTCTGCCTGCATCTCTACCTCCACCGTCATTCGTATCTGTATCTCGACTTGGCCGAAAGTCAAAAGCCAAAGCCCTGCCAAAAGCAAATTAGATAAGTCGCGTCCCCCGGATAAATCTTGGCCATATTCATATTCCGGGAGACAAATTGATAATGGGGCAGCAGTTGCTTTATTGCCGCTCTGCGGGACGGGAAGTCGTTGTTGCTCAGGCTTATCTCGAGACCTCGCTGGTAAAAATATATGTATAAAAAAATAAAATCACAAAGGTAAACACTTAGACAATCGTGTCAGGGTGTGGGTGGTGGCTCTATCGCCAACCGATTTGGGTTCGGCAGAAACAGAACTAGAACCAGAAACATAACCCAACGGAAACTCCGATTTCAGTCTGGGGTTTTTCCAGTATTTTCAATAGAACCACCTACTTTTATAACAGCTCAACAAAATTTCCTGGAAAAAATAATGTAAGCAATTTTCTCCATAGGGAGTTTAGGTTTTCTAAAAAAAACAAATGCTACTTATGAACTCAATATACCACCTACTCTTATATCAACTGATGAGCAATTTCTACATCTGAAACTAGTCAGAAAAAATTCCTGAGAAAAATAAAGTAAGCAAGTTTGTCCTTAGGGAATTGAGGTTTTCTAAAAATCAATTGTTACTTATAAGCAAAATATACATTAAACATTATACACATCGATGTACGTTCCCAAACTCAAAATAATATTATTATAATTGAAGTGTAGAGAGCTATGACGATCCCTGTAGATCTGTAAAATAAGATATTACACAATAGATATTACTTCAATAGCCTAAACTTCCATAACTCGAAGTCTCTGTTAGTCAAACTAGTTTTTTTTTGGCATTAGATAGTATAATATATGGGAACTCCATAGCTTAAACACTCCGAAACTTGAAGTTCTATTAGGACCCAGAACAAATCAAACACGGGAGTTGTTTGTTGAAGTTTGTGTTTTAGTTAGTTTTGTGTCACAATTAAATTTCATTTATTTTATACCTTTGTTTTTGTTGCTTAAATTGCGCTTTTATTTATTTACTTCAGTTTTTGTTTTTCTTGCTGAACAATTTACAATAAACGCGGCCGCTTTTTGTGTTTTTTTGGTTGTAGTTTTCCTTGCTTGCAGTTGTTGTTTCATATTTAATACTTATTGATTTTGTTGATGTGGTTTTTTATGTGATTTTTTTACTTTTGCTGCGGGCTAAACCTAAAAAGTTGTTTGCTGTTGCTTGTTGTGTACACGTACATATATCGAATATTTTTTTTGATTATTTGATTTAATTAGTGTTCTCCAAATCAAGTGGGAATATACCCCTGCTAACCCTTAGTTATCCATCGATTTTGTTTAGAGTTTTTATAGTTTCCGCTACATTTAATGGTTATTTTCGTTTAGGTGGGGGCGTTGGAACAGTTAAAAGGGGGAAAACAGTTGGCCAACAGTTCCTATATGCATATATGTAATTATATATATAATCTGGCAAACGATAACAGTGGCAAGCCAAAGGAAAAGTTGTGTGTGAGACGAGAGGGATTTCCCAGTTTCTTCTAGTTTTAGCTTTGACTATTTTGAAATCGATTTAAATTTGTCACTACCAACACACAGACGCACATCGAGATACATGGTATATATATCGTACTTTATAATTTTTACTTTTACTTTTCACGTTTAATTACCTTTACTTTTACTGTTACTGTTACTGTTACCTTTAATGAATTCTGTATACCTCATACTGTATAGTAATAGTTATTATTTGCTCGTTAATTTGTAGACACCATTTACAATTACAATTACAGTTACAATTAGATAGACACACACAATGCGATCCTAATTAGATACATATAATACGCCTGGGATTTTTCAATCCTTTCTTTTTTAGGCCCAAAAGTAGGCAGCATGAGTGCGTGAGTGTGTGTGTGTGTGCAAATTACATGTGTGTGTTTCATATAGTTCCAAGTTCCAAGTTCCAAGTTCCTTAGTTTACCTAAGTCTAATTGCTATTCCGAAAGATCCTGGGATCAGTTTGATGTTTCACATAAACATATATGTCTAGCTGCACCCACTATCATACAGTTGTGGTCAAAATGATTGTAGAATTGGCATTTTAAGATTAAATGAAGAGTACATTGCAATATCTATTTACAGTAAAAATAAAATTAAAACAAAATCGTTGATGTAGAAATCTCCAATTGTAAACATAAGTTGACAAAAAAGTTTTTTTAAATGTACTTTGAACCTATTTTGGTTTGAACCAAGGTGTTTTATACTTGGATAAAATTGAGATTGTAGTTTTTTTAATGCCTTTTAAGACCACTAACTTACAAATGATTGCTTTTAAGAGTTTTAATATTATATTTTTGTCTTAAAGTTTTTTTGTTTTCCGGCACTAATTAGAGTTTTTCCCAAGCCCCCAATGCTATTGTTTTGACCACAACTATATTAGTTATGTTTTCGGGGTTTACCCCGTTTGTCCAAATCCGAAAATGTTTAGAGGAGAGATTTTGCTGAGAGAACCAAGTTGGCTGGCCATCCCTAGTTTTAAGCCCCTTTATATTTTTTCGTAAAGCTCACTTGTTTTTTTTCTTTTGTTTGTTCTAACTTCCTATAAGCTATCACACCTTTGACCCTACCTATCCTACTACTTCACCGCCCTCTCGCCCAACCGAACTTGGTTCTCGCCCTCTCTTTTCCAACCTGCTATCCATTTACTGCCTATTATTAACATAATTTATTCTAAACATTCACTAAAAACAAAAACATTTTAGCCTCTTCCTCTAAATCACACACACAAAACGGGCACAGTGAGCGGCAAAAAAAATATTATGATTAAAATCTTAGTTTCTTTTTAATTTTCTGGCTCCTTAACGATATGTGAGTGTGTGTGTGTGTGCGCGGGTTGTGCAGGTGTGTGTGTGTGTGAGAGAGAGAGAAAATAAGTGTTGAAAAGAGACGAGACACCTAATCACGGTGATAAAGGAACTTAATCCAAAGATTTGATTTTTTCGCATTTTTCAGATGGGGTTCTTTATAGGGTTTGGGGATCGTGTCGAAAGCTGCTTAAAATGTTACCGGCTGAATAGCTGAATTGTCATCAATCGCTGACAAAAGATGCCTGGCATGTTTGGCCTTTCAATTTGTTTTTAATTTACGTAAGATTTCCGCCTTGGCTTCCTAGTCGTTAAGCTTATTCTCGTATTTTGAGTATATGTATGTACCTCTTAAGATTGGGGATTTTCTGCATTTGCTTAGTTTTGGTGTTTTTCGGTTACAGTTTGACATTTACTAGTGGTTTTCTCTTTGGTTTTTCTTCATATTTTCTTGGTGTCTTCGATTACGATCGTTATGCTTTTTGGCTAATAATTAATAATTCGTATTTGCTTGTATATTATGAATATGAGAATAAGGTCTCGGCGGTTGTTGGTGTTGTCTTTCGTCTCAACTTTTCGTTTACGGTTAATAAAATAAATAAGGCTTTGCAAAAAATCGATAGATTTTAAAACAATTATTGAAGTGCCCTTAAGTAGGCTAACATTTGAATGTTTTGAATTTCGAATTATATATTTGGAAGAAATAATAAAAAGAATTACCGCAGAAATCACTCATAATGGTGTCCAAAAGTATAAAACTATGTATTTCGATGTGGCATAGTCATGTATTCTTTTTAAAAGACGACATTTATTTTTTACTGCATACTTTTTGACACCTTTAAGGGTGATTTCAAAATCTTAGTCATTTTAGTGTCATTTTTCGGTGGGGGAATTAGTTCCCTTCATCACAATACAAATAAAATCTATTGTAAGGAAAATGTAAAAGCAATCCTACTTTTAGACGACAACAAGTAATTGTTTTAAAATATCCGTGGACTTTACGTAAAACCTCCAGTTTTCGATTTTTGTAATCTTATTTAGGCCTTTGGCAGTTTCTTATTTTCATCTTAAGTGGTGTCTTTGCTTTTTGTCTGATTAAGAGGGAGACGGCTAGAGAGTGAGTTGTATACCGTGAGGGATTTTAGGGGGCACTTTGAGGTAACGCATAATCGATCAACGAACAATCAAATACAAAAATGGCAATAAAAAACCTTCAAAATCGAGAGAACACGCGACACAGTGGCAGACAATTAGATGAGTAACAACGTTTAAGTTCATACAAACTGGGCATACATATGAGTACCCGAGTGGAGTACCAAGTGCATATGGTAATTCCCCTGCCCGAGGCATCAAGGATTCTGGATCCTAGCCGACTGCGATGACGGGGAATCCCCGCAGCGTATCTCAACGTTTCACCCCGAACAGATTCGGTATGGACTTGATCTTCTTGCGTGAGCAGTTCAGGTAATCCTTGTACATGTCTGACCGCAGATACCGGGAGTACGAGTCGCTCTTCATCAGGTGGTAAACGTGCGAGGCGGCCACATCGAAGCACCATCGGTTCGGGCCGCTCGGTGAGTTGACCGCCTCGCGGGCCAGCTCCACCGACTTGGAGTCCACGTTCACCGGGCAGGGGGCGTCGGGGGCCAGGAACTCCTGCCAGATCTTCTGGATGGCCTCCTTGATCTCCGACTGCGGCAGCGCCTTCATCTCCTGCACCGATTCCCAGAATCTGAAAGGATAAGGAGAGGTTTTATAAGCTAGGATCAAGGAGTCAGGTCAACATTATGATAATATCTTGGAAAATAGTTAAAAGTATTTATCAACTTAGATTGAAGTTGTTCCATTGGTTGGTAGAATAATAATATAAACAGTTGACTTTTAAAGCTGTATAAAAGTATGCAGTGAAAAAATAACTTTGTATTTGGAAATAAATCTGTCGGGCATCCCTATTCAAATTATATTGTTGCATACTTTTACACACCTCTAAATTTGATTTGAAAACGTTAGATATTTTTTAGCAGCCTCGATTAATTAGTTATAATATGTTCAATATTTTAATTTTAATTTTTTCCTCTTTATATTAAAAGTTAAAATATATTTTAGGGACTAGAATTGTGGAGGAAGAATCTAAATCATATTTTCAGCTCTGTGTAAGCTTTCTAAGAAAATATAGTTACTAGAAAGGCGCTAAACAAATTACTAGGGTTTTAAAATTTCTTTTAATTATCATTGTAGGTGTCAAAAAGTATGAAGTGAATTAGGAAAAAGGAACTAAAAAGCTTAAAATTTATTGTTGCATACTTTTGGGTACCTACAATTACATTCAAAATAGATTTCAAAGCCATATTGATTTTTGGCACCCCCAATAACACATGTTTGCAGCTCTTCGAGTTAAATAAATTTATGGACTCACTTGAGATTCTCGCCGCTGTACTCCTTCTCCAAAAACTTGGTGAACTGCTCCCGACCGATGCCATCGTTTAGCAACTCGCGCAAACTGAATGCCCAGCGCTTCACGCGACGCACAGGAACTTCTTTGCTGTGGGGTCAAATATTAATTTTAAATAAATTATTATGAGTCTTAAAATCCATAATTATATTACTAGAATATGGAAAAAACATCTCACCTATTTTTCTCCGTATCCCACATCTCGGTACTGTCCGTTTGCCAAGGATTCGGCAGCTCCGGCGAGGTTATAAAGTAATCGAACTCATTGTACTGATCGTAGTAGGCAACCAGACTGGCGAAGATTGGATTTTAAATTACCGAATATTAATCGATTTATTTATAAATGGTATTATTAATGGGCTACTTACGCCTCGGCCGCCTTTGACACCTTGATTGTCCGCCGCTCGAGCTTCTGTTTGCGCAGGGCGATGATCCGCGTCAGCTGCTCGACGGGATTCTTGGCCAAGGAGGCGCCGGCGGACCCGGTTCCGTGGCTGGAACCGCCCCTCCTGTAGGCCTTCTTAATATCAATTTCGGTGGTGTTGACGCAGCCGGGCATCGGCCGGTGGACGTCCCAGAAGGCCCGCTCCTGCGAGTCCAGTACCTTCCGCTCCAGCTTGTCCCGCTTCTTGGCCACCTTGCTCTGCGATTCAGCCTGGAAAAAATATATATTTTATTTATTTTTGATAAATTAAGAGTTAATATTTCTTTTACTTATATGAAGAATATGTAATTTTTTAAGACCTAAATTTCAGTGGCTATACTAAATGGAACAAATACGATTATTAAAAAAAATTAATTCAACTAAACAAAGAATTTAAAGCTTATTTTCAGAATTTTAAAATGTAATGCCAAATTTTAAAGAATTATTTATTTATTTTAATAGTCATTTAATGAATAATTCTGGAACTCTAGAAATTTTAAATACTTTCAAAAGCATAAAATGGACCATATGTCTATAATTTAATTGAATTGTCTAAATAAACATTGAATCTTAAATCAATGTCCCCAAAAAAAACGTTCTTTCGATTTTAAAATGGAGCCAACCTCAATCTTTTTTATCTCTATTTCAAGAAAAGCTTTATCTCAAAAAAACAAAAGCTAGAGTAATTTTCTTTTAATTTCAAGAACGTTTCTTCTCGAAAAAGTGCGAGTACCAGTTCTCAAGCCAATAACCTTTGAGATTGGCTTTTTCCAGTTATTATATTAATATTACCTGCATAAATATAAACTCCCACTTTCTGGAGAACATTTTCTGCAGCTTGGCCAAATTCTCGGCTTCGTAGTCGGCCAACTCGAGTCGCGTCTTGTTCTGCATGGTGCGTTTGCAAAGGTAGACGGCATAGTCCGTATTCTCGGGCTCCCAGCAATTCGAGGGCCAAAAGTAGGGCGTCTGGAATCTGTAAGAGAATTACTTATAGATCAGAATGATATTATAGGATCAGCACTCACCTGTAGAAGGTGCCGTCGTTCTTGACGGTCAGCGCATGATCGTCGATGGGGAAAATGTAGCCATGCGAGCTGAGCAGGTGGGCGAAGTGCAGGGCCTCCGTCACGTCCTCCACATCGAAGTTCTTCAGGATCCAGGCCACCAGGTCTGCTCCCGTGAACACCGAGGGCACCTTGCTCATAAAGGCCTTCACCGTGCGCACGGCCACGCCCGTCGACTCCGCCTGCATCTTCTCGATAATTGCCTCCATCTGCGAAAGGAATCGATTCAATTATTGTCAATTAGTTGGCACACGCACAATCAATATATTGGCAAGCGCATTAGGGCTTTAGAGTCTTCTTAATAGTTATCATCATGCATTTAAATTATTTTGAAAATCTAAATTATAAATTAAGTGGCTCAGACAATTCTAAATGCTTAAATATTTTAAATTATATTTTTTTTTAGTCCAAAACTAACAATTTTCTAGTTTTTGCAAAGACTTTTTGTATCTTATTTATATTTCAGATTTTAAAATACCGAAAACCTATTAAATGTAAAATATAAAGAACCAATAATACTCAGAGAGAATTCTGACGTTCTCATCTGAGTTGAAAATGTTCTAAAACATATAAACCATTTTTTGAGTTGAAAATATTTTCAATGTGCTTGAATCATGTTTAACGCGGCTTTCAAGAACGAATGTTCTCAATTCAAGAACAATGTTTTTGAATCTTTCTGTCTGTGTAATAAAGCTTTTAAATTTCTAACTAAAATAAAGAAGTAAATATAACCATGACCTCGAATTCACTATAAATTATACAAAATTAATGAAATTTTACATATTTTAAGAGATCAATTTAGTAGTATTAAAGCCAAATTTAGGGTCATTTGCTTAAATTGTATTTTTTTTTAAATAATTAAATATTTTATTACTGTTATAACTCAAATAATTTAATCTTTAATTCAATAAGAGTTAAGATACTGGTAAAATCAAGTTAAAACTGCAAACCTCGTTTGCTTTAGGGAAGCTCTACTGTCTTAGGGCTAGCAAAGATGAGGATATTACCTTTTTGTATACTAGTATATTGGGGGCATCCTCGTTCTTGCCGCCGCGCTGATGATGCGACGTCGCTGGGACCGCGAGGGCGGAGGCGGTGGGCGGCTGGGGCGGTTGGGCGGCCGACTGACCCGCCGACTGCTGCTGCGAGTGGCCGTGGTGGTGGTGGTGATGGTTCCCGCTGACGGTCAGCAGGCCGCTGCTGCTGCTGCCGCTCTGCTTGCTGCCCGCCGCCGCCGCCGTCGACGAGGATGTGGCGGAGGAGGAGGACGTGGTGGTGGCGGCGGCGGCGGCGGCGGCGGTGGTCTTGGCTCCCAGGGTTGTTCCCGTGGATGTGGATGTGGTGGCTGCGGATGCAGTGGTTGCTGGCGGGTTAGCAACCGATGTGGCTGCCGCTACTGCTGCTACTGATGATTCGGTGGCCAAGGCCGATGAGGATGATGATGATCCCTCGGTTTCCGGGTAAGCACCTCCATTATTACTGCCATTGGGCAGGGGCGTTGGCGAGGGAGTGGCCGTGCTGGCACTTCCTCCTCCTCCGGCGGATCGGGCCTCCTCCAACTCCGGCGGAATGGACACCGCCAGCGGATCGCTGCTGTTGCTGCTGGTGCAGTCCGTCTTCGCCGGCGCCGCGGTGCTGCTGGCATTGGTGGCTTGTGTTTTGTCCGCCTCCGAGTTCATCGTTACCATTTTCTCGAACGGCGCTCCAGGGATATTTGATTTCCAGAGCTCTTTCTATTTTTAAACACAGAGTGCAGGGGCGTGGGTGCCGGCTGCTTGGCCAGAAGGGGGTTGGGGGTGGTTCTGCTCCTGCTGCTGTTCCTGTCTTCAAAAAGGGGGTGGTGGTGGTGTTGGTGGTGTTCTCCCAGCTCTCCTGTGTGCGTGAGTGTGCGTGTGAATCAATTCGATGGCTAATAGAATTTTTATTCAGTTTGTAGGGGTCATTTTGCCTTTTTTAATGCCATTTTCCCAGCGTTTACCACCCGCTCCACCTCAATTTTCACTTGGTTTTTCCTGTTTCTGGTTTTCCGTTCCGTTTTTTCCTGTATGCTTGAAATGTATAGGAGTTATGGCACACACACACACACGCACGCACACAAGGTGATGAATTGTTTATTATAATGCCCCAGCAGATTTCCTTGAAGTCCTCTTATTGTTATATAGGTTTTTTTGATTTTTTCTAATTTAATATTTGCTATATTTTTAGCAGGGATTTTTCAAGTTTCGCTTGCTGTTGCTGTTGCTCCTTGTTCCCTCTCTCTCTCTCTCTCTTGCACTCTCCCTCTCTCGCTCTCGCACGACGTGTTTTTTAGCTTTTAGCCCGTAATCATTTTACGGCCCAAAGTCAATCGGCTCCTTAGAGCTTCCTGCTGATAGTCCTTCATCGATTTTTCGTCCTTCCTACCCCATAAACTCTCTCTTGGCCCACTCTCCCGCTCTCTTTTCGTCCTGCGCATGCGCAAATACCGTTGTTTACATCCAGCCAGCTGTTGTGTATCGTTAGGAAATAATCGATTTGATATCGATAAGTTTGAGATCTAAAAGGTTGCAAGTTCAAGGGAGATACATCTAAATATCGATCAATTATATCGATACGATATTTTCTCATTCTTAGTTCTTATCACGCCTTCTAAAAAACACTCATTATTTTCAATTTGCTTTATTTCAATAATAAGAATTTGAGTCTACAAATTATTTAATTCGTTTAAAATTAAAAAAAAAAAAATATTTTTATGTATGTTTTACAAACTAAAGATTTATTTTACGCATAGTGTTTATTAGTTGCATAGCGTGATTTTAACTTATAGTGACCTTAGTTGTTATGGCTTTTATACAAAGTTTTGCAATGATTTTGGAAAACATTCAAAAACAGATTACAATAAATAGAAAAAAATAATACATATAGTGTGTGCAGGATAAAACAGATAGCTACGGCTAAACGAAGTATCCTTCGTTCCTATAGATATCGATAAAGTTTACATACATATATGCATGTATTTTACTGCCCCTAGGACTAAGTGGTGTCTGTAGCGCCTACACTCGTTTATTATTTACATAGGTTTGTGAATATATTTTTTACCGCATAGGGAGATATAGGTTCTTATATATGGTATAAATATATATATGTATGTGTATGTGTTTGTTGCATCCCTATCAGCGATTGTCGATATATATCGATTGTCGATCACCATCGAGATATGAGCAACAGGATCAAATCGGGGTTTATCTCTTATATGACCAGCTCTACATAACGTAACTATATGTTAGTGGTAGCGAAGAACGCGAAATAATGTTGGATTGAGCTTGATTGGATAGGTTTTCGTTAACTAAGTAGAGTTTTAATGAAAGTCAAACACGGATAGGCAAAACAAGCTTTATATAGATCCGAAAAAACTAAACAATTTCGAGATTAAATCAATTTCTTAATGTTTTCAAGGAATATTCATAAATACTATTGGAAAACATCAATCACAAAATATGGAAATGTTGAAATACGAAAATGAGACCATAATCGGGGTTGAATGAATGAAATGGTATAACATGAAAGGACGATTACTACATATGGAACCATTAACATCTTGTCGTCTAGGCTGGGATTCGATAGCGGATTGGCCTCCCTATAGATCACATTTTGACACTACGTTTATCAATGACATAGAAACCATCATTATCGACATGATTACTCAGATTATGATATACTATTACTGCTGCTGCTGTTCCCTCGACTGCCTCACCGATCGCTCCCTGTCCCGATCCCGATCCCGGGATTCCCTGTCGGACCACAAGGGTTGACCACTTTGGGCCTGATAGGATAGCGGTGGAGGCGGTGCCGCCAACTGGGCCTGGGGCACCAGTTCCGCCTGCGGATTGAACTGGTTGTTTGTGTTGTAGTTCACGAGGATGTCGCCGGCGAGGCTGTGGCCTATGTTCACGCTCCGGTCGGGATAGCCCTGATTCTGGGCCTGCACCTGGATGGGCTGGGACTGCACCTGCTGCTGCGGCTGGGGCTGCTTGTTCCTCCAGTGCTTGTGCTGGGCCACGGGCACCAGACGGTATAGGGGTTCCGCCGATGGGGCACTCGGATAGCCTGGCACATAGTACGGCGGATAGTGGGGATGGGCATGGGGATGGGAATGAGGGTGTCCCTGTTTGCTGCTGGGTCGCACCCTCTTGAATTGCGGCGGTGGTCGCTGCCAGAATTGCAGGGGATTCGACTGGACAGGGGATGGGGGCCTCAGCTGCTGTGGATCGTCCACAAACTGGGGCACTGGCGTGCTGTAGATCTGGGGCTCGTAGATCTGTGGCTGCTGCTGCAGTTGCTGGAGCTGCTGCTGGTGCTGCTGCTTGCCCACCCGGAAGTGGCGTCCTGGCAGGTAGGAATCCGGCGGAGAGGCCTCCAAGGAGGTGTCCAGCTGTAGCTGCTGCTTGCCCACCCGCAGGTGACGCTGTCGCTGGCCAGGAGGCTGGTAGACTATCGCCTTGAAGGCGTTCTGGTCCTGCTCATCCGCACTGTAGTTCACCATGGGCAGGAAGGGCTGCTTGTCGAAGTCGGGAGCCTGGGCAATTAAAAAGATTATTAGCAACATTTACCAAATATATTATATATAAATATCAACCAACAGAAGTGAATATATTTTATTTTCAAAATTAGTACTAGACATTCCACCAAACAAACGCAGCCTAAAATTATGCAACATCTGCTTACTCTTAAAGTTTAAAACTTTTGGTTTTACTGTCGAATGGTTCGTCGGGTTGCTCATAGATGGCGCTTTGCTCAATTGGCAGATCGAATTTTCATTGCCTACATTTCAGCGCAGAGCAATCCAATCAATTGCTATTTAATTAAAATAATTGTGATGCCAAATATAAAAGCGACAAATGTACTTAAAATTTTAAAATATTTCTTATAACAATAAACACTTTGTTTTCCTTTTTTTATAAAGCTAGCAAAGTCTCTCGGAGTCGAAAATCTCAAAACATTTACTGTTTTATGATTAAAAAAACCAATTAATATATATTAAACAATTTTAAAAAAACTATTCACCAAATTTTTAATTTTAAGAAATTATCCGATATTTTGTCAACAAAAAATCAGCAATAAAATAAGCAAAACAATTGTTTACTGAATTTGGCGATTTTAAATATTCTGACATGTGATCAATTTTCGAAAATGAACAGAAATGTAAAAATAGATATGCTTAAAAATATGCTAAGTAATTATTTACTACATTTTAAAAAATTCTGATATGCGATCAAATTTTAGTTTTCCAAATACTAAGTCATTGTGTTTTTAACAAGAAAATTGTAAGGAAATGCCTTTGTCATTGAAATATTTTGAAAATAAAAAAATAATGTTTGCATGTAGGCATTACATGAAATAAATGGGTACAATCTCAACATGTTAGGGATCTTCTTTAAATAGTAAGACTTTTTTTAATGGATTTAGATTACGTTTGGTTTCCCTTTGCTTAAACCAAGGACAAGTAACTAAGATTTCTTCTTTAAATAACAAGAATGGGTTTATAAATTTAAATAATACTTAATGTTATTTTTTGTGGACCAATCATTACCCACTTATATTTAAAATTAACGATATTTTTTAATGGATTTAGACCATGACTTCTGGTTTCTCCTCTTTGGCTTCACCAAGGACTCACCTGGAAGCGCCCCGGACTGACATTGACTCCTGCCGGGGGCGAGATGAGGTTGCTCCTGAGCAGCTGGCCCAGGGAGGCCTCGTACTCCGCATGGAGCTGCAGCTGGGCGGTCCTCGGCTTGGGCGTGATGTTGACCACCTCGGGGGCCACATCATTCGCAGGACTGGGCGATGCCTTGTAGTGCTGCAGGTGCTCCCGCTGGTGGTGATGTGGGGATACATTGTTGTTGTTGTGATTATGGTGATGCCGCTTGGGCGGCTTGGTGGCCAGGAAGTCGTCGATGACATTGGACTTGATTGAACCCGGCTGCCGCTTGGCCTCGAAGTACTCGTAGTAGATGGGATTGGACTTGGAGAGCGGTGGGTCCAGTGGCGGCTCCTGGCGACTGCCCTCCGTGGAACTGGGCACGAAGACCAGCTGGGGACGCGGCGTATAGTTGACTGGGTAGATGGGTATGGGCACCGCCACCGGAACGGGCACCCGCTCCACATACTTGGGTGAACTCTGCCTGGGCGGCGGCGGCAGGTAGGTGATCCCATTGTATTTGGGCTTGTAGGAGGTGCGAATGGCCGGCAGCTGCACTGGAGGTCGTGAGGTGGTAGTGGTGGTGCTGGTGGTGGTGGTCGTTGTACTGCTGGTCGTACTGCTCGTGGTCGAGGTGCTGCTCGTGGTCAGGGGTCTCCTGCTCGCCACACTGCCCTCCAGTCGACTGAAGTGATCCGGCGGCGGGGGCAGAACTATGCCAGGAACCAAAGGACCCGGTGGCACTGGGTTGGAGTAGTTGCTCTTGTAGACAAACGTATAGGCCGGCGGATAGTACAACGAGGGATCATCCTCGTCAAAGTCGCTGACATTGCCTGGGAGCGGAGAATCCCCCACCAGCGAACCATTTCCATTCAGCCCATTGATCAGCCAGGGACCCAGGAGCGGTGGAGTCCTCAACAGACCTTGGGACGCCACCGAGTCGTTGGGGTAGAGCAGCCAGGGGGCATAGGGCGCCGGATAGACGTAGGCCGGGGCCTGGGCATCTGCGGACTTAGCTGCCGGAGATGCTGCAATCGCTCCCGTCCGGGCAACAGGATGCGATGCGAGATTTTCACCGGCGGCGCCTTGGTGGCCCTGGTGGTGGGCTCCCTTAGCGGATAGCGTTGCATTGCCAGTCGCCGGACGGAGGATCTCGAGTTGATTATCTCGGATAAGCTGCAGCGGCCCGTGCGGCTCGAGCTGCACGGGAAAGGGAGGCGGCACGGCGGGATTTGCTGGCAGTTTGATCTGTCTCCCGGGCGCATCGTAGTCATCGATGGCTGGCCAGGGACCCTGCTGGTTGTCGTCCGCCTCCTCGTTCAGGGCGCCGCCCTTGATCACCAGCAGGTGATCCTCCGCCAGCCAGATGTCCTCCTCGTTTAGCCCGCCATAGTTCCGTTCGTTGTCCAGCGGCACCTCCGAGTTGCGGGCATAGCTCAGCACCCCTGGCCGTTTGGGCACCCGGCGGAAGAGCTCCTTCTCGATCAGGCCGTACTTGCCGTCCCTCACCTGGTCGGCCAGCGTCTTCTTCTGGTCCTCCTTGGGCGGCTTCTTGGCCGGAGCTTCTGCCTCCTTGCCAGAGCCGGCACTTAACCGCAGGATGCCATTGTCCCAGTTGTCGAAGTCATCGGGTTCGTTTAGCAGGGCCTCATCGTCATCGTCGAACTCCTGTCCCCTGAAGGGATTGGGGGTGTTGGATTTGGGGGGAGGCAGTGGGGTGGTGGTTCTCGAGGTACTTGGCGGATTACTAAATCTCGTAGGGGCCGCTGTGCTGCTTAATCTCGGCCTGGTCGAAGGTTTGGCCAGGCGGTAGCTGCTGCTCGCTTTGTTCCTCAAAGGAGGTTGCCTCGCAGTCGTCGTCGTTGTGGGCGTCGTGGAGGAGGAGGATGAGGAGGTTGTGGTACTCCTCTCCGTCGTCGAGGGACCATAGCTGGACGAGGAGCTGTTGGCACTCACCGCCGACACCTCGTAGGTGGAGTGTCCCTGGGCGTTGTGGATGTGACCGGCCACCAGGCGCTGGATCATGCGTGGCCTGTCAACGAAATCGGATCGGGAATCGCAATCAGGGAATGGAATATGACAAGTAACTTAATCAAAAAGCGGCACCCTAAATGGGCAGGCTCGTGAAGAGAACACATAAGGCAAAAACCGCAATGAATGAGGCTTTGGTGATACGAACACCGAAATATCCTATAGATATTACATGATAATTACAAAAATCGTTGCTCTAGTAAGTACATTTTTAAAAATAAATCACTATAAGTCCAAAATTTTGTTCTTACTTTAACTAACTGGGTATCTAAAAGTTACTTAATGATTAATGAATGCTATATGTTTTTACCTAAGTCTTTATACCAATCTATATACTCTACTTTTACTTGAAAGGATTATAAGATTTATTAAATTATAATAAATTATATTATCAAATCGTGGAGAAGACAACATCTAATAATCACTTTAAAAAATAATACCCTGATCATAGGTAGGGAATTTTAAGATCCTATTAGAAAGATTGCCCTAGTTCTTGTTTAAACAGTTATTGATTAACTACTTAATATTAATGCTTGCGGACTATGCTTTTAAGTGTTAAGACCCTTAACTTAATTTAAAGAGAGTTTTAGACTCTAAATTCTAATACTCTTTACCTAATAGGTATCAAGATCAAAAATCCTACCCAAAACTAACATACCAATAATTAAATAGGATTGCAAACTAAATCATTTAAGGGATATATATATGTGAAGAACAATGTTCCTTAAGTTACTATCTACCTAGCTATCTATCCTAACTATCTATCCCAACTATCTATCCTAACTATCTATTCTAACTATCTGTTCTAACTATCTATTCTAACTATCTATTCTAACTATCTATCCCAACTATCCAGCTTAACTAACTATCCTAACTACCTATCCTATACTCGGTTATCATAATTGCTTTAAAATGGGAAACCACTCACGTTTTAAGTGCGCCTCGACTGGAAGTCGTACTGGAAGTGGAGCTGGAGCTGGAACTGGAAATGAAACTGGGACTGGAAGTGGGCCGGTAGGGGGTGGCGGTGGGCTGGGCGGACTGCCAACTGCGTCGAATACTAGTATCCGGCGTATCGCGCGGTTGTCGCGGCCCCCTCACACTCCCCCGATCCCTGGAAGACCTTCCAGCTGCAGGAGTGGCCGCTGTTGTTGTTGTGGTTGTTGTTGTTGTGCTGGAAGTGCTGCTGCGTCGTCGCTGCAACACCCGAGCAGCTGTTGTTGTTGTTGTTGTGACCGGCGGCAGAGGCGTCGCTGCGCTGCCGCCGCGACCGCGACTGCGAATCGGGGTCACCGTCACCGTCACATCGATCGATTGCGTCGTGGGCGGTCGACGCTGCCGCGGCGCCCTCAACGTCGGCGCCTCTGTGCTGGTCGTGGATACGGCCACGCCCCCTGTTGGCCTAGCTAACCCCTCCCCCTGGAAGGCGACGCCGCCCCTGCCGCGCTGTCGCGTCACTGTGGTTGTTGCTGGTGTTGTTGCTGTCGACAGCGCAGTCGACGCCAGCAGAGCTATCACTATCAAGTGCAAGCTTAACGATGCCATCTGCAAAAATCACGAAATTGGATGGGTGTTATTAAATCGGAGGAAAGTTCCTGTTATTGGGGGCATTCATTAAACAAATTATAGGAAACAAGGTTCATTAGGATCCCTAAAATCTTTTAAATTCCATCATTCCATCTGCTAAAATCACGAAAGTTATTAAATCGAAGAAGAGTTCCTGTTATTGGGAAAATTTATGAAAAAAACTTTATGAAACAAGGTGCATTAGGATCCCCATAATCTTCTAAATTCCATCATTCCATTTGCAAAAAATTACCAAAGTATAATGGGTGTTATTAAATCGAAGGAGAGTTCCTGTTATTGGGGAAATTTATGGAAAAAACTTTATGAATCAAGGTGCCTTAGGATCCCCATAATCTTTAAAGTACCATCATTCCATCTGCTAAAATCACGAAAGTTTAATGGGTGTTATTAAATCGAAGGATAGTTCCTGTTATTGGGGGTGTACAAGGAAAAACCTTTAAGAAACAAGGTGCACTAGGTTCCCAATAATCTTTTAAATTCCATAATTCCATCTGCTAAAATCACGAAAGTTGAATGGGTGTTATTAAATCGAAGGATAGTTCCTATTATTGGGGGTACTCAAAGAAAAACCTTTAAGAAACATGGTGCATTAGGTTCCCAATAATCTTATAAATTCCATCATTCCATATGGAGAAATCACAAAAGTTGAATGGGTGTTTTAAAATCGGAGGAAAGTTTCTGTTATTGGGGGTATTTAAAGAACATTAAGAACCAAGGTGAGTTAGGTTCCCAATAATCTTATAAATTCCATCATTTTATTACCATTCCTGACAATTTTACAAGGTAATACATGTAAATATTCCAAGTTTTACGATGTTACTAGTTCATATATTTTATAATTTTGATAATATTGAATGTAAATGGTTTCTAATTGGAGACAAGACATGTGATTATTCCAAGTTTTACGATATTACAAGATCTTATATAATATTGCTAGTAATGAAAATATATCGCTTATAATTGGAGACAAGTTCTAGATAGATTATTAATATTGAAAGTCCCTTAGAATTCTATCTTGTTCTGTGCTATAGTTGAAGTTTCCCAAAAAAGTTACAAAATATGTTAGCAGTTCTACAAAAGTACTGTTTTAAAATATAATAAAAATGTACCTAAGCCAAAAACATTAACACTAATTATCAAAACGCACCTTATAAGCTATACAATAAAGTAATCTCCTTAAAAATAGGTAACAAAAACAGAATAAATTGATATTGTAATTAATTTTATTTAAATTTTTTAAATTCCTTTTACAATACCCTATATATAATCTCTTAAAATCCCTGCGAACAATGGCTCAAAGCAGGCTTATTCAGCCGTTAATCAATTGGAAATAGCAAAAAACAAGCGAGAAATGGCAAACCGCTCACAATCGTTTTTGTTGTTGTTGCGAGCGGTTAATTAACATGAATGAGCGGATAACAATAACAAAAACACGCCGTAAAGTTTTCAGCACGCGTCGTTTGCAACAAAAATAAAAAAAAAATAAAAAGAAGACAATCGAAAAAACCTGAAGTCAAAATCGTTTTTTACCGATGCACTTGAGCGCATCGTTGGGAAAAGAGAGGGGCGCGATTTTGAGCTGTAAATACGTGAATTTTTGGCCTTTCGATTGCATAATTAAAACTAGGAAAAGTCGAGAAAATCATGTTCACAACATAGGAAAATTAAATCGGAATAAATCATTATTTAATTATAGGTTATTTTATATTTCAAAGATTTTTCAAACAAGTCATGGAGTTTCTTTTTGATGAAAAAGCTGTTTTACTTTATTTGATATTGAAATATAGCAATTGGGATAAAAGGTGGACCATTCTAGGAAATTTAATTCAGAATAAATCATTATTTAATTTAAAAAACCATTTTTTATATGAAGTTTTGTTACGTACAACTATAAATAAATAAATAACTATACATATCAATGATTTTTTTTTTAAATAAACAAGCAATATCTTCTCTATAAAAAAGCTGTAGGTACTTTACTTAATATCAAAATATGGGAAATGGGAGAAATGGTAGACCTTTCTAGGAAATTTAAGTCTGAATAGATCATAATTTAGTTTAAGAAACCCTTTTTTAAACAAAGGTGTGTTAGGTATAACTATAAATAAGTAAATAAATAATAACTATATATATCAAAGATGTTTTAAATAAATCAAGCAGTATCTATTGTATGAAAAAGAGGTAAATACTTTATTTAACCTCGGAATATAAGAAAGGGGAGAAATGGTAGACCATTCCAGCAAATTTAAGACAGAATAAATCATGTTCTAATTTAAAGAACAATTTTTAAATAAATAAATAACTACATATATCAATGGTTTTTTTTTAATTAATCAAGCAGTATCTTTTCTATGAAAAAGCTGTAAGTACTTGATTTAATATCGGAATATGAGAACACCCGTAGAGACCATTCTATTAAAGTGTAGTTCCAATTACAGCTCTAAGGCGCCTTATAAATGGCCGAGAGAACCTAGGCTTGTCCGCCCATCAATTCAATACAATCCAATTCGATGGCAACTGGGCCCGTCACTTTCGACGCCCCGAAAATGCCAAAAGCGAAATCAAGGACGGCGCTTTGAAGAAATCGAATCATAAATAACATTTTACTTTTGGTCTTTGTGTTTTTCTCGACTTCTTGTCGCTGGGCATTACTCATACGCGCCGTGGCTAATTGACCAAAAACGCGACAGGTTGAAGACTTTTTCCCCCGTAATTCTGTTTTTTTTTATATTTTTTTTTTCGATTTTTTCTATACATATTATTGGCGCCCACAAGTGCAGGCGCCAAGCTTAAAGCGATTTTGTTGTTGGGCGCAGTTGCCAAACCCCGAAAACAAAAAACAATGCAAAGTGCAATAAAAAAAAAATAGAAACAATCAAATGGAACGTGATTCGAAGCCAAAAAAAAACCGAAACTGAAACTGAAACCGAGTCTGAAACTAAAACTACAGCCAAAACTGGACTTGGACTGGACTTCGGTAGGAATGCGTTGTATCGTGTGCCTTGCGCCTGTCCACTGCGCTCCAATTTCAGCCTATATTTCGGCTTTATTTCGCTTTTATTTTATTCGTAGAACCAGCAACGGCTGCCAAATTGTTGTTTGGCAATCAAAAAAGAAGTTAAAACAAAAAGCCAGCGAAACAAATGTGTCTGGCGAGACCACCAGGTGGAAATACTCTGAAAAGGTTCATATTTCTTATACATTCCCCCTAAGATCAGTTCTAAAAATTTCCTTATTTATAATATTTATTATAAAATATAACCTCAAATGAAACTAATACAATTTTATTTATGAGACTGCTTTAAAAAAACCGAACCAAATCTCAAAATATATATCTTAAGCGAGCTTAAGGCCTACTTCTGCTATAACTCTATAACCAACCCTATGTTAGCTTATAACATTTTAATAATAATAATAATAATAATAATAACAATAGTTCTAAAAATACTTATATAATAATAATAATAATAACAATATTTCTAAAAGTACTTAAATAATAAAAATTCTAAAAAATACCTAAAATAAATACTAAATTAAAATATATACTAAACTAAAATAAATACTAAAATACTTAAATATTAATTATGATTTCTTATCTGAAATATGTTTATAGATCAATCAAAAGCCCTTTCGTATACATATCATAAGATAATAATAATAATGTTAATAAATCTAAAAATATGTTAATAATAATGTTTTTCTCATATCGCATACATTTCAGTTGATTTTTTTTATAGATCAGTCAATAACCCCTTTCGTAGGCATATCATTAGATAATAAAAATAAAAATAATAATAAATCTAAAAATATTGATATAATAATACTGCTTTAATGGAATACTTTTAAGTTGATTTACCTTATAGATCAGTCGATATACACCTTTCGTATACATATCACTAGATAATAATAATAATAGTATTAATAAATCTAAAAATATTTTAATAATAATAATATTTTTCTCATATCGTAAATATTTCAGTTGATTTACTTTATAGATCAGTCAATATACCCCTATGGTATAGTTCGCTTTGGGCGTAGAGTATCATAAACAGTAAATAATGAAAACTGTTCGCGTGCGCAGTGGTCGGTGCCTAACGGTGCCTGTAGTGCCCGATCCGCCGGTCCCCCGAACCCGAACCCCAGACCCCGAACCCCCAACCCCGAACCCCAGACCCCAGTGCCCAGATCTCCGATCTGCGCCACCACCAGAGATTCGTCATAGAGGCGACCACGTTCCAGGCCAAGCCTTGGAGTCGCCGCCAGCCACTTGGAGGCATTTTTCATAACCGCAACGAGGGTACTACAAAGTGGCTTAATTTTCAAATTTGGCATTATTCGGCCAACGATCACGGGCTTAGATTTAATAAATACAAGACTTTTTTGGTTCAGAAATGTTAATAGAATCTTAAATAAGAGTTTGAACAAGCAGTTGTTTGTAGATAATATATAAAAATATAGGTAATATAAAATAAACTAAAGTTTAGAAGTTCTAATACCCTTGCAGATGTTATGAAATTTTAAATAATTCTTGGAGTATTTGCCCCTGTTCTTCATCAGTTATAAGATTTAATCCCCCTATCGACCAGAATTGTACCCTGATCAGAATATAAAATCTATATATCTATACTTTACTAGATATATAAAATAATACGATACGTTAAATTTCATGTTGATTACTTTTAAACTTAACAAATTCCTTCAAAATATAGGAATTTCCTCATACTAAACCGATTTTTCGTATGGCAGCAATATGGTATACCGAGAAATATTACCGTGATCAGGATGATCTTCTAGTAAAGCTAAAGAAGAATATATGTATATGCCTTATAAGGTCGTATAATTTTTCTTCATTGCGTTACAAACTTCTGATAAAATTTATAATCCCTCCTTGCAAGGTATAAAAACTGAATAAATGTATTATTATTATTATAGCATACTACCTATTAATATATTGTTAT